CCTTTATCCCCTCTCTCCAACCTTTCCAAGGATGACCCCCTATCCTTCCTTCCCTCCACTACAAATTTATATGCTCTCCAAGTCATCCTATTTTGTTCCATCTCTCTAAATATCTGAACCACCTCATAAACCTCTCTTCAGCCCTCTGGATAATATTTAGTAATCATGCACTCCCTAATCTCCAAGCTATGAACTCTCCGCGTAATATTCACACTACATATTGGCAGTGGACACGACATGTCCACTGCCTCCAGCCTCCGCCTCACTGCTACATTCACAACACAGGCTTCACACCCATATAAGAGCATTGGCCCCACAATACTCTCATACGTTCCCCTTTTTGCCTATATGGATAAATTGGTACCTCGGGATACAAACTTATTTCGTTCCACACAAGGCTGCTCAAGTGCCAATACCGAACGAATTTGTTCCCATAAGGAATAATGTAAATTCGATTAATCCATTTCAGACCCCCCCAAAATACACTTACATAAATACACTTACATAATTGTTCGAGTTTTGAGCTGTTCGTATCCCGAGGTACCACTGTATTTATATTATGTTGGCATTAATAAAGATAATCTGTCTCATCATTTTATCATGAAATATTTGCTGCTTTTATTTTTACTTTGGTTGTTTTCATTCAGATGTAGTCTTTAATTATTTACCTGCTTATTGTTGTCATATAATTTTTCTCTTTATAATGCATTTTGTGGTAGACATAGAAATTAATTTTGTCCTTTTGTAGATGGGTATAATCTGTATACAGTAGACTGTTATATTACATGGTAGTTACGTTCCTGAAAATGCCATGTTAGGTAAATTCGTGTTAGATAAACTGAAGAACTTATGGGAAGAATAGAGTTATGCTCCTGGGAGCCCCAAAAAAAAGCCAAAGAACATTATTTTAGATCTCCTGATCTTACAAAAATAAAAGTGAATATGTAATTGTAGTTCATAGTTGTGATGGATTACGTTGTTTTTACTGCTTAACCCTTTCAGGGTCCAAAGACAAAATCTGAAGGGGTGCCCCAGTATCCAAGAAATTTTGAAAAAAAAAAAAAAAAAATTCATACAGAATTAAAGATTATATTTTTGTGAAGGTAGTAAAGCAAAAAAAAAAAAAATCTGATCAGTACTTACCGAGATACAGAGGCAAAATGACCGGGTGGTGGCATCATCAGTGATTTCCATAAAATTGCATTTCTTTATTTTACATTTTTTATATTTTTTCTTTTCTTTTCTAATTTTTTTTCTTTTTTCTAGTAACATTTGTGGCCTGTGAGACCAGTACTGTATATAATGTATATATATGCATTCACTGTATTGAACACAACTGCACCAAAGTTATTATTATAATTTTGTTTACCACTATTGTTTACTACAATAAACATGCACAAATGTTGTATAATACTAATGTTCTATTATATATTTAAATATGTACAGTCACTGGACATGTTTTTAGAACTGCTGCAGCTTGTGGAAGTCCTTGAAACAAGTTATCATGCACAGAGGTACCTTACATTCCTTACACATAAAGTGAGTGTCTTTGCGTCTTTGTTGCAGTCGTTTTGTTTGTGCACAGACAACACATCTCTTCTGAGCAAATTTCTTCTTAGTTGCAGGAAGCTGTATTATGAAGTGATCACCTTCCCTCAAACGCTCGAGTATTTCCTGAGGAGTTCGAGGACGGTTTTGTATAGCAGGTGTTGTTACCTGGTACTTCATTATGAGTTGTCTGACAACAGACAAACAGAATTCACCATTTGGTGGTCTGTTGCCGGTCTTCATTTGGTACATATTATATGCATTGAGCATTGAAATGTCCATGAGATGGAAGAAAGGTTTCATGTACCACTTGTAACTCTTACAAAAAATCAACAAAGCCAATCTGCATGTCACATTTGTCAACCAAGCGCATGTTTTATGTATAATCAATCACTGTCACTGGTTTTCGAATATGTTCATTAGTCACTATTAACTTTGCCACTGTCTTGCATTTCGTTACGGTGAATGGTTATCAACAATGTGACATCTCCTTTGTCATGCCACTGTAATGCCATGATGTCACTGGCAGTAAACACCTACACCTCACTACTACGAGTGCCTGCGTTGAACCTGGGCATATGTTTAAGATTAGAACACACTGTGCCACACATATCTGTCACGTTCACTCGCAGGAAATCACTGAGTAAAGGGCTTGTATTCCAGTTATTGGTATATAATGTATGCCCCTTACCAAGATAAGGTGCCATCATGTTTCTCACTACATTACCTGAGATACCCAATAACATCTAGGTATCTTTCAATGTTTTGCTTTCCGTGTATACAATAATATCCAATACCAGGCCACTGTCACAGTCACAGAGTACAAACAGTTTTATATCAAAGCGTTTCCTCTTGCTCGGTATATACTGCTTGAAACACAGTCCACCTTTGAACAAAATCAAAGACTCGTCAATTACAAGATTCTTGAATGGATAAAAGTACATGTTGAACTTTTGTTTCAGATACATAAAAACCATTTCTAATCTTGTATAACCTGTCACTTCTGTCAGGCTTGGTTTTGTCAACAAAGTGCAACGTATGTAGCAGTAAGATAAACCTGCTCACTGGGATGATTTTACTGAAGGCCGGTGTACAAATTAGCCGATCTGTGGACCAGTATGGTTTTATATTATGCTTATAGACATGAGGCATAAGCATTATTGTTGCAGAAAGCAAATACATTTCAGCAACAGTCATCTCTTTCCATCAGTGTAGTCTTGACTGTGGTGATATGATCGTATTTGCCATGGTGTACTCAAAATACTTATTACTTTCCCTGACAATAGTTTCCATCAAGGGCGGTCAAAGAATAATTCAAAGAATTTCAGTTCATTTGCAGTGTTTCAAAGGGAACAAGTTGGTAGAATTCCACTTTGAGAGTCATCAAAGTGGTGGGGCTTGGGAATAAAATTGGGATTTTGCTGTCAATCCCAGGTACGGTTTGCTGGTGGATAATGGACATCATAAGCTGGTTGTGGTGGTAGTTGTGGTTGTGGTGGGGTGGTGGCTGATGCTCTGCTTTGTCCTTGAGCTGAGGAGTCAACGGTGTGGGTCCCCAGCCTGGGCTGGCGAGTCATGCATGGCCGTGGCACTTCCATCACCACTACCACCGTCACCACCAATTCTACCACCTACTGATGCCTGTGGTCAATCCATTCTTAGTGTAGCCACATCATCCTCGCTTTCACTGTCTATTCCTGGTGTAGGGCCATGGGATGTACTCCGGGATGTACTCCGTCCCCTGGGCACTGCATAGGAAACACTCCTTGAGTGCATGCGGCGGTGTATGTACCGACGCTTCACTGGTAAATATGATTCCTCACTATCACTACTTGAATGATTATCAAGAGCAATAAAATCACAATCTACATCACTATCATCATCATTACCGAAGTCTGAGGCCTGGCCAAGTGAAAATATTAGTTTTCTCTTGCTACGAGGTACAACTGAATGTGACTGTGACGTGCCCACACCAGAGGTAGGAGGTTGAGGATCGTCAGGATTTTCTGCACTATTTTCGATATCCTGGTCATTCCTTTTGGTCACTAATTGATCAAAGCCATAGAATTCATCTTCATTTCCACTTCCATCAGAGTCAGAACTATCAGATAGGAAGAGGAGAGTCCCAATTCTCCTTGGAGTGAAAGCTGCCTTGTGACAAGGCATGGTGAACAAAGGTAACCGAGGCGGTGTTTCTACAGTGCCATGCGGGTGCCTAGAATTTCTATTTACGGCGCGCGCACACCACGTGGACCCGTTCACTCAGATGTAGGCCTACCAGCCTTCTTGCACTAAATTTGACGGCACTAGAATTTTGGTGTAGATCTACAGTTTGGACACTTAACATATAGCCGTAGATCTACAGCACGGACCCTGAAAGGGTTAAGACCACAAATGCATCAGAAATAATAGTATTTCTTACCTTAAATTTTTGGTGCTGGTGTTTGTCGACAATTATGAAGAGAGTGGAGAGTTATACTGTGGTCCTACTGGGCTGAGGTGGATGGTAGAGGTTCTGGTACTGAAGTTGATGGTTGTGCTGGAGTGTGCATAATTTCTGTAATGGATTTCCAGTCTTATTTTACCCTGCAGTACATTATACAGCTGACGGTAAGGTATGAGTTGCTCTAGACACCGTTTCAGAGAACTGCTCTAGATTTGTCAGGGTCTTCTTCAGTGATAAAAGTCTAACTCTGTCAGTAAGTCAGTCAAGTTTGTCAGTTAAGTCTGTCATTCAGTCAGTCAGGTAAGTCAGTAAGTCTTTCGAGTAAGTCTGTCATTTAGTCAAATAAGTCAGTCAGTGAGTTATTCATCACATAACCTCATATATTTACCTCATTCTTTTTAAATGTACAAACTGATGCTTCATTAAGGCCACAGGCTATCTCTTGTCTAATATATCTGTTTTCTTTGTTAACTAAGACTTAAATGCTTATTCCTTTTCTTGGCACTTTCAGCAACATTTTCATGCCTACTGGGTGCAATGATTGCTTGGTAGATACCGGATATGGCATTTAAAAGATCAAAACACAATTCACAAACACAGCTTTCTCCTAAGAGAGAACGGAACTGGACATGTATGAACGAATCCTGGGATGGGGGTGGCGAGAGTGTTGGGGGTGGCAAGGGATGGCGGTAGGTCTCCCCAGCTTACACAGTGGTCTGACCTCAACAAGGCAGCAGCTTGAGCTGGGGAAATTTTTTCCGTGCCCGCGAATGGAACCGTTTTAAGTTAATTTTAAGAAGTGTTGTTTAAAATTGTGCAGCAATTTTTCAATAGTGCAGTAACCAAAATGTGGCCAATAACTCCATGTAATATAACAGTCTAATGTATATATATATATATATATTTTGGTAATGGGACCTGACACTTTTTTAAACATGTAGTAAAGTTTGGTTATATTTATGTTGCCCTTTTGATAAAATTATTGACTGTGATTTCTTATGGACAGGTCGCTCACTTCGAGCCGTTGTGGGGTGTGAAGCAGCCATGGTGTGGCACAGATGGTGGTGAAGGCAGTGTTAGTAGCCCATCATCTCCGTCAGGGGATACCTACCCTGCATCTCCTCCAGACTTGTCGCGTGCTTCTCCTGTCTTTACATCCAACTTTACTCCAGCTCATATTGAGCAACTGACCAAAGTTGTTCAGCACATTGCAAACCGTGACCAGCGGAGAGCTGAGAGAAGGGCTGCTAAGAAGGCTCTTAGAGAAAAGAAATATGTGGAACTTGCAAGTTGCTCTTTGGATTCAAAGAATTCATTGTATACTCCAAGTTCTTCACCAGTTCATCCTTGCTCATCGTCTGTACTCCCGTGTTCATCCCCAGCACGACCCTGCTTGTCAGGAGTGCTACCATGTTCGCCAGCAGTTCTTCCCTGTTCATCAGCATTGCTTCCCTGTTCATCTGCAGTGCTCCCTTGCTCTCCATCAGTGCTTCAACATTCACCATCACCAGTGCTCTCGTGTTCATCATCTGTGCTCCCCAGTTCATCCTCGTTACAATCTTGTACTTCCTCAGTGCTCCCCACTTCATTGTGTGTTGTTTCGACATCCTTAACTGTAACTCCCAGTTCTCTGTCATTAATGCCCAATAGAAATAGCTTAAGTACAGTGACGAGTGGCAACCATACAGTGTTCCCGGTCAGTGACAAATTGGCTCTGTCATCTTCAATTATGCCCTTAGATCCAAGTGGATTCACAAAAGATGGACTGAAGAGGAAAGATGCCCTATCAGTTCCTACATCTTTACCCACCAAAAAATTGTGTGTATCAAGTTCAGATCTACCAAATTTTTATGTTACTAAACAGGGATCTTCTACACATCAATCTCAGAGACTAACAGGCCACATTAGTACAGTCAGTGATATTTCCCGTTCTAGAGTGACAATTACTCCAGTAATGGGGTCAGTGCGGCCTGTTTTGAGTGGTGCAAAGGTGCTCAATTCCCCAGTCATATCTCAGGCAAAACCTGGAAGTTCCGGTAAACCTGCAGCCATGGTCATGGTCAACTCCTCTTCACCATCTACAACTGGACAGTTACCAACCTCTCCAGCTTCCAGGACATCTCCAGGAATGATTGTTTCTCCTAGCATGGCATCTTCCCCATCAAGACTTTCTCCTGTAGTGCAAGTTGTTTCCCCTTCTTTACCAGTTGCACTTTCTCCAAGCCCCCCTGTGTCTAGAACGGTAATGGTGGCTGGCCATGCACGATCAGTGGAAGTGTCTTCGTGTACAACATCCATCGGTCAGGGACAACGAGCCATTGCTCAGACATTACCTTCCTCTTCCAGCACAAGTGTGGCCTCCAAAATTAAAACTGTTAGGACTCTACCTCAGGTAATGACAATAATTTCATGTTTTTATGGTTTTCTATGGTAATTAATTGTATAATTCTGTTTTACAAAAATGCGACTGGGGACTTATGCTGGGAGCAGTGGGCTAGTAACCCCCTTTTCCCATGCAGCTTATTAAAAATAAGAAGAAAACCGTGAAAGTTGAATATTGGTATGTCTGTGGATGTAGTGCGAATAAGAAAGAGATGGTTGTGGATTTTATGGATGAAAAGAAGCTGGATAACAAAAAAGGCACAATACCTTGACTGGAAAGATACACAAATAACCCGCACAACGACGTTTCGGTCCGACTTGGACCATTGACAAAGTCACACCAACCAGAGGTGGAGTAGGACGGCTATATATAGGCAGGAAGAGGTGATGGTAGCAGTAGTAGTAGTAGTAGTACAAGAATGGTATATAATAACGACAAGATGAAATTAAGACACATGCGCAACACCCGGGCATCCCTATCATAGACGTTTCGCCATCCAGCCAGCCACTGGATGGCGAAACGTCCACAACAAAAACAACCAGACGCCGCACATGTGTCTTAATTTCATCAGTAGTTGTAGTAGTAGTAGTAGTAGAGGTAGTAGTAGTGATAGTGGTAGACGTGGGAAATAAGGAGGACGAGCCTGGATGGCGAAACGTCTACGATAGGGATGCCCGGGTGTTGCGCACGTGTCTTAATTTCATCTTGTCGGTATTATATACCATTCTTGTACTACTACTACTACTACTACTACTACTACCATCACCTCTTCCTGCCTATATATAGCCGTCCTACTCCACCTCTGGTTGGTGTGACTTTGTCAATGGTCCAAGTCGGACCGAAACGTCGTCGTAAGCTTCTCTCTTTTATGTGCGGGTTATTTGTGTAAGAAGCTGGATGTCTTGGCTATAAGTGAAACAAAGTTGAAGGGGTTAAGAGAGTTTCAGTAGGGAGAAATAAATGAAATTATGTCAGGGGTTTCTAATAGAGCTAAGGAAGGAGTAGCAATAATGTTGAATGGTAAGTTATGGCAGGAAAAGAGAGAATATAAATGTATAAATTCAAGGATTACGTGGAGTAAAATTAGAGTTGCATGTGAAAAGTGGGATATAGTAAGTGTTTGTGCACCCGGAGAAGAGAGATTTTGGGAAATGTTGAGTGAGTACATGGGGAGTTTTGCACCAAATGAGAGAGTACTTGTGGTTGGGGATCTAAATACTAAAGTGGGTAAAATTGTTGTGGAGGGAGTAGTAGGTAAATTTGGGGTGCCAGGGTAAATGAAAATGGGGAGCCTTTAATTGAACCATATGAAGAAAGAAGTTTGGTAATAAGTAATACACATTTTATGAAAAAAGAAGATAAATAAGTATACAAGATATGATACAGCACATAATGAAAGTAGTCTGTGAGATAATGTATTGGTGGATAAAAGGTTAATGGGTAGGCTTCAGGATGTGCATGTTTATAGAGGAGCAACAGATATATCAGATCATTAGTTAGTTGTAGGTACATTTAAAGTAATAGGTAGATGGGGCAAAAGGAGAATGGCCACAGCAAGTAAGAGAGAGAGGTGAAAGTTTCTAAACGAAGTGAGGAGAAAGTTAGGGTGAGATATGAGCAACTATTTGCAGAAGGGTGGGCTAGTGCGAGTATAGGTGGTGGGGGGTTGAAGACAGGTGGTATAGTTTTAAAAATGCAGTGTTAGTATGTGGGGCAGAAGTTTGTGGCTATAGGAGGGTGGGTGCAGGAGGAAAGAGGAGTGATTGGTGGAATGATGAGGTAGAGGGCTTGTCAACAAAGGCACTGTCAACAAATTTTGCTGCGAGTAAGAAAATTTTTTAGAATGAGATAAGGTTAAGAAAGCCTAGGGAACGAATGGATTTGTCAGTTAAAAACAGAGTAGGGAGTTAGTAGATGGGGAGTTGGAGATATTGAGAAGATGGCAATAATATTTTGAGAACTTTTAAATGTTGATGAAGTAAGAAGGGCAGTAATTTCATGCACTGGCCAGCGAGGTATAAAATCTTTTAGGAGTGATGAAGAGCAGGATGTGAATGTGGGGGAGGTGCATGAGGCATTATGTAGAATGACAGGGGGTAAAGCAGCTGGAACTGATAGGGTAACAGAAATGTTAAAAACATGGGAGGGGGGATATAGTGTTGGAGTGGTTGATATTTTTGTTTAATAAATGTACGAAAGAGGGGAAGGTTACTCGGGATTGGCAGAGAGCATGTATAGTTCCTTTATATAAAGGGAAGGAGGACAAAAGTGATTATAAAAATTATAAGGGTATAAATTCACTGAGTATACCAAGTAAAATGTATGGTAGGGTTATTATTGAAAGAATAGAGGTAAGACAGAGAGCAGGATTGCAGATGAGTAAGGAGGCTTTAGAGTGGGTAGGGGATATGTAGATCAAGTGTTTACATTGAAGCATATATGTGAACAGTATTTAGATAAAAGTAGGGAAGTTTTCAGTGGATTTCGAAAAGGCATATGATAGGGTGGATAGGAGAGCAATATGGCAGATGTTGCAAGTGTATGGAATGGGTAATAAGTTGCTAAATGCTGTAGAGAGATTTTATGAGGATAGGGAGGCTCAGGTTAGGGTGTGTAGGAGAAAGGGAGATTACTTATAAGTATAAGTTGGTCTTAGACAGGGATGTGTAATGTCAAAATGGCTAACATATTCATAGATGGGGTTGTAAAAGAAGTAAATGCTGGGATGTTGGGGAGAGGGGTGGGATTAAATTATGGGGAATCAAATACAAAATGGGAGTTGACGCAGTTACTTTTTGCTGATTATACTGTGCTTACGGGAGATTCTAAAGAAAAGTTGCGAAAGTTAGTGGAGGGTGTGTAAAGGGAGAGAATTGAAAGTAAACATAGATAAGAGTAAGGTGATGAGGGTATCAAACAATTTAGATAAAGGAAAATTGGATATCACGTTGGAGGGAGGAAGAATGGAAGAAATGAATGTATTCAGATATTTTGGAGTTGACTTGTGAGCAAATGGGTTTATGAAAGGTGAGGTTAATCACAGAATTGATGAAGGAAAAAAGGTGAGTGGTGCTTTGAGGTATCATTGGAGACAAGAAATGTTATCCATGGAGGCAAAGAAGAGAATGTACAAGAGTATAGTGGTACCAACACCTTATATGGGTGTGAAGCATGGGTTGTAAATGCTTCAGCAAGGAGGAGGCTGGAGGTAGTGGAGATATTGTGTATAAGGGCAATGTGTGGTGTAAATATTATGCAGAGAATTTTTAGTGTGGAAATTAGGTGTAGAGTTAACTAAAAGTATTAGTCAGAGGGCTTAAGAGGGGTTGTTGAAATGGTTTGGCCATTTAGAGAGGATGGAACAGAGAATGACTTAGAAAGCATGTAAATCTGTATGAGAAGGAAGGCAGGGTAGAGGTCATCCTAGGAAAGGTTGCAGGGAGGGGGTAAAGAACGTTTCATGGGTGAGGGGCTTGGACTTTCAGCAAGCGTGTTGGATAGGAGTGAATGGGGACAAATGGTTTTTGGGACCTCACGAGTTGTTGGAGTGTGAGCAGGGTAATATTTTGTGAAGGAATTCAGGGAGACTGGTTACCTAGACTTGAGTCCTGTAGGTGGTAAGTACAGTGCCTGCACCTTAACCCTTAAACTGTCCACACATACATCTATGTTCACGTGCGCAGTGCTCCAAACGTAGATCAACATTTTATTTTTCATTCCTTCAAATTTGGCACGATAGGCCTGAGTTGCCTAGACATGAAAGAATGGGTCTGTGCACTCAGTGTGCGCAGTATGAAAAAAATCCGGGACCATTTAGTATTTTGTGGGAGCACCAGCTCAATTGAGTGCCAGCTAGAGCAAGTAGCATGGCAAACACCAGTGATTCACTGATGTCTTATCATATTAACACTCACATTTTAAGAGGAAAGTAAAAATAGGTTAAATAAATGCATGAGTGAGTGTAGGTGGGTGTGAGTTGGACCTAACTAGCTTGGGCTACTAGGTCAGATGTCCTGCTCCTTCCTTCAGTGGATGTGACCTGGCTAGGTGGGTCATTGGTCTAAGCCAGGGGGTGACATGGACCTGCCTTGCATGGGCCAGTAGGCTTGCTGCAGTGTTCCTTCTTTCTTATGTTCTTATGTATTCAGCTGACTGGCTTTGGCTGTCTCTGTCTGTATCTCTGTCTATATATCTGTCTAGCTGTCTATAACTCTATCTATATCTGTCTCTCACATTTACTCTTAAGTACAGTTATTATACATAATGTAAATTACCTAGGATAACCCAAAAATTCCAGGCCAAGTGCTATACAGTGTTTATAGATATAAGACAAATAAACATGATGCAAGTAATAGCAGTGTCACTTGCTCAGCAGATGGAAAGATACACACACACATGCAGACAGAAAGAAAGATAAGCAGAACTAAACAGACAGAGATACATAGACAGGAAGACAGATAGACAGACAGACAGACAGGGACATGTTTGTGTGCAAGAGTAAAAACATATAAAGGCAAAGTTCCCCCCTCCAGCACCACACAATTATCAAATGTCACTGGCTGTCGCTTGTTATCTGACGCTTTTCATAACACCATTCTTCAAGGAGTTTCATATTATACTCCAGGCACACACACAAAACAGAAAGACAGATAAGCAGAACTATACAGACAGATAAGCAGAGCTAGACAGAGACAGACAGACAGGCAGAAAGATAGACAGATAGATACAGACAAACATACAGACATATGTTTGTGTGCAAGAGTAAAAAACATATAAAACCAAAGTTCCCTCCAGCAGTGCACATTCATCAAATGCCACTGACTGTCACTCGTTATCTGACCCTCGTCATAACATCATTCTTCAAGAAGTTTCATACTCCAGCATGTCTAAAACATTGCTGGGATCTGTAAATACTCTGTATATATTTCTTGCCCTTTGACTGTCGCAACCCCAAATCCTGAAGTGTCTCCTGGTGTCGAAAAATTTTTGAAAAAAAAAAAAAAAAAATT